TATTTTCTTTTCATTACTCTCACACCACAGAATAGTCCATTAATATGCAATATGTACTCATTTTCTAGCACTATGATAAATAAGCCTGTACCTGGCACAAGTCATTGACTGTTAACTATCCATACCCTCTCCAGCTGAAGACATAACACAGTAACTGTTGGCCATCCATTCCAATCATTATCGGTATTCTTACTATGCATTTAAACAAACAGTTCCATGACTTTCCCCTCCTCATTAATTCATGTGTTTGTTTATTCAACAACTGCAACTTTAAAAGAAGGCTAAGGGCCTAGTCACCAATATGCTTTCTGGGCCCCAGTGAACAGCCAATTATGAGGGACAAAGGGGCAACACTAATTAGACTGTGAGAGTTACTCTGTAAGTAAAGTAAACACAGGCTACTGGGAAGAAGATATGTGTAGGAGGCATAGGGTGAAGAGGAGGAAGGAGGTTGGAGGTGAATATGATCTAGATACATTGTATACAAGTATAAAATTATCAATAGATATATTTGAAATGTTATTCTTTTTTACATGGTGAGAATAAGGGCCTTTTATTGCTCCAAAATGAATTGTGAACCTTTCCTGACTCACATGGGACCAGTTCAACAATGGTTCTTGGTCATGACTTTCTTCATGGTCATTTACATGTGATTGCTATTTAATGTATTATTTATCGGATAAAATTCAAAACCAGACCTGTATGTGCTAATCACCCACAGAGTAACTTGTTCTCTTAAGACTCTTCTTTGATTAATCATCATACTACATATACTAATTAACCAATATAATGTTTGACCCCAATGCCACATGGGTCAGTAGGACATGATCCCCATGCTATGAATACATCAACTACTTTCTTACATTGATACAATGTATGTGCAAGAGCAAATTATCTAAGCCAAGAGCAGAAGTTTTACTACTACTCATGGTGGACCAAATGATCCTACACTCAGGGGGAAGGCGAGAAGAACAGAACACTAGAGAATACTCAAGCATTATGTATTCTGGGATGTGCAAAGCAAACAAAAATCACAGCGAGACCCCACTGCCCTTGATTGCCCACACAGGCCATTTCTACTGAGATGGGAAAACATTTGCTAATTTTCTGTAATGAATATTGGCACATCAGAATTTTCATTATTTTTTGTGTCTACCAATATTAAAGAAATAAGACACATGGACTGTGTATATTTCCTAGTAAAATTCACGGTTCAATGTATGTGCATATAATTACACCATGGTAATTGTGTGTTGGTCAATACCTATCCCTAGAAACAGTTAACAGACACAATTTAATGCACCGCGTAGCCAGACTGCGGCAATTCACACTCTTAAAACACATCAACATAACACACTGGCCTAACATTACCGTCACTGGTCCTAGCTGGGATCTCTTTATTCGCACTAATTTACATGTGTCTAATAAACAAGTAATTTAATTCAATAGTCCTAATTTTAAAACATCTGGTTCATGAATTCTAAGAGCAATAATTATTCTACATGCCTTTAGGATTGCCGCCATACTCATATCATGTAGTCTAATTATCATCAATGAATTTATAAGTGTAATATTTCATGCTACTTTCATATTTATCATTTTTAACAGTTGGCCTTGGGAACACTTCTTTATACTTTTAATAATGTAATTATTGATTCAAGACAAACTCACAAGGTCATGAACATTAATTCTCACTCACATTGGTCTTTGTGGCCTCCACCCACAAAGCAGACAGCATGGCAGACCTCCATTAGCTGCAAGGCGTCCTTCCTCAGAGAAAAAATAAAGAAGGTTAGAAAGACTAACCCCAAAAGGACCTCTTTCATACTCTTCACTAATTAATTCATTTGGCTGTTAATTGAAATTTTTGTGGCATAAACACGTATATCAAAATGACCATCTTTGTGTATGACTCCATTTGTGAGAATGTTATTAACACTAAGCATTATTTTTGAGCACACTGCCCTTATGATCCTTAATAAAGAACCCAGGCCTTTGACTCAAGCTTTTTCATTAAAAAAAAAATCAATATACACAGTTTATATTAATGTTTCGTGCATCCTTGAACATATTCATAGGAAAACAAGGCCTTGATTTATTTACTTGTATACATGTTTGCTTGTCTACAAGCAATTTACACAGATAAAAAGATGTGTGTAAAAAGGTCCTGTAGTTGTGAGATGGTACAGTGGACAGAGGTACCTGCCACCAAGTCAGATGAACAATCTCTGGGATCCACATGGGGAAGGAGAATTGAGTCCCATAAGTTCTCTGATCTCCACAAGTATATGTCACGACCTTCTGAAGACAGACAAATGTACCAACAAGATTTTTGTGTACCTCTAACACTCCTCCACAGGGACATTAAGAAGACAGAAATAGAGCAAGCTCTTATCTGTCTTGGGCCTCAGTTTCCAATAGGCCCAGACAAAGGCAGAGCCCTAGACCACTGAATCACCACCACTAGACTTGGAATGAGCCCATCTACATTCTCATCTCACTGATTATTGGTTGACACATTGGTTTACTAGTAATAAGGACATCACCTCTAAACCCTTGCCATTTGTTGTTGGAATAAGACCCCCTGCGTGAAGTATCCTTACAGTCACCAATATCAAAGGATCAAGGGATTTCATACAACTTCTAGTCATCCCTTGAGCCACGCTCTATTTCATGCTTATTTTACATGTTACAATGAGTAAACTTAAGAGAAAAGAAAAAAACAATACCTTTGTTAAAGTGGACAGCTATCCAAAAAGGCAATGGTAGAGACCAGAAACCTCCAGAACACAGACGCTGGTTCACAGGTCAGCCAGGATGTCAAAAGCAAAACAGAGAAAAAGGAGACGTTCATTCATCAAGTTACTTATGTGTATGTGAACTTGAAATGATATATTTTCTCTTATAGTGTACATTTATCTCTGTACACTACAAGAATATCACTATACAAAAACAATCCAGGCTCCCTTAATGTTCTCAGCATCCATAAGTAAGAGCCCTTTAAGCACAAGTGATACATTTGTTCCGGTCTTTACTGGACCTGAGAACTCCAGACAGTATACCCACGGTGGAACTCATTTCCACTTATTCTCATCTAGTGTGATGATTAACTGCTTCGTAAATTTCTAACAGCAATACAACAAATATCTATTAATTATAAAAACTCAGTTTTTTTTAAAGCCTTGATTTTTTTTTTCATATACTTTGGGGGAGGGGACACGCTAATTTGAGTGCATATTCATGTTAACTCTTCTTGCTGCTGGACGGCTTACACTAAGAGTAGGCCCAGACACATTTCCATTTTTCTTTACTGTTTACAGTGAGTAATTGGATTTTCTTAAATGTGGGACTTGTAGCCCAGTATAGCCACAACCTCACTAAAGTGAAGCAGACACTGATAAAATTGACACATTTCCTCCATTAACCCTGCGATCTTTGAGTCACTGTTCAAACACTTGGGTGAATCTGATTTTGCTTAATGTATATTTCATAGTCTATTAAGAAGAACAAGGCAGCATTGAACTTCCACTAACCTAATGTGAGAATACCAGCCATAACTTGGAATCTCTGCTATTACTGTTAGCCATAAGAAAGAGCTCCGGACACTTCTCCTTTGGCCAATTATCACTATTTATTAGCATTAATACTTTTAATAGTGTTCTTTCCCAATTTGTACTAATTATATGATCCTAGAAACCCCTTCATCTTTACTTATTTATAATTGTACATTGATTCTTTATACTTTTAAATTATTCACAATAAAAAAATAATACCTCTTCAACACGTCCAACCAAGTGTTTTGATTGTACATCCTCTTATTGATTTCATGACTGCAAAATAATCAAAACTTGTGAAATACAAATTCAGAGAAGACTCTTATGACATCGTGTATCTCTCTATAGCATTTGCTCAGGAGGGAGCAGAAGTTATAATTACTTTTCTCTGGGGCTTCAATGGTCCAGATTCATTTCCCCACCTATGACTCAACACCAGCAGTTATCCAGCAGTTATATTGATCCAGGTTTCTGACTACTTCATTTCTTATTATCCAGCCTTGTTTACCAATTAACTCACTAGCTGCCTGTGAATGATCAGACGTTAACAGACTAATACCCTTTAAACATGAACACACCTAGGCTGGTTCTTCATCTATCTAGGAAATCATTTACTGCAAGGCACTATAACTCACTTGGGACCCATCAAGGTTTCATTTAGGGACTGACCAATGTAATATTGCATATCAATTCTATATTGGCAATGGCTACTTTTCTTCAATTATATTTAATATATTTCATATACATTAAAACTTATATATCACATACTACTTATATGTACATTAAAACTCAAACAGTCTCTATGTTCCCACCCTATAGAGCTACTCACATATCAATGGCTATAGGCAAACTCCAAACTCAGTCCTTTCCAAATGTGTTCTTTTCAGAAAACAAGGTAGAATACTTCATTATATACCCCTATCTCTCTCAAGTCTTTGCATCCATGTCTAATGTAAATATTCACTCTTCGATATTTATATTTTCTGGATAGAACACAAAACAGTGTGTTTGACAGATGACCAATTTCACTTTTGGTACTGAGGATAGAACAGGGTCTGTGGGTACAAGTCACCGCTGTACCACAGACTGCAAGCTATCTCATGCAGATTGAGACACACATGTACACTCGCAACTGTTTAGCCCCAAACACCACATACTCATGTGTTTAGGTGAAATCCACCCCCATTCCACATGAACTTCACATTCTCAACACCTTTTATCTCACAATGTACTATACAATTCACTAAGGATCCACTAACTCATATTCTTTATATTTCCACGGAACCTTCCACTCACTTTCAATAACTCTACTTCACACTGTTTTAGTGATAGAGTAAAGACATTTATTGAAACCATACTTTTTCATACATTACATTTGTATTAGTTTCCCCCCCAACACCTCCCATATCCTCCCCATTTACATACCCACCCTAACCCAACTCATTCATTCTCTCAGTAGAATGAATAATCACCAGAAACTGTTATAGAGAGTAAGACACATGCATTACCACACATAGAAAATTCACAAAAAAGAAATCAGGAACCACAATATACAAGCAAAATGTCAGTAGGTTAAAAGTCACTACCCAGACAAAGCATTGTATGCCACAAAAGCTTCCAAGAATGTCATCGAGTTCATATTGTGTTGGCATGCGCATAGTGTATCATCTTAAAGGGTGTTTATATGTCCAGTGAGAGTCCATCGGAGAAAGAGTTTCCTTTGAAAGAGTTTATGAATTGGACACAGCTTCCAGATTAGGGATATGGGGTTATATACACTTCCCCTCAGAGCGCTGGGGCCCCGTTGTAGGCTCTGGGCATGTAGCAAAAGTCTATGAGTTCATTCATATTTGCATCAGTCCTGCTGTGTCTAGAAGGGCTTGAATCCTTGGTGTCTTCCATTCTCACCGGTTCTTACAACTTTTTCCTCCTCCTCTTCCATAGGCTTCCCTGATCCCTGAAGGGAGGGATGCGATGGAGACATCTCAGTTAGAACTGAGTGTTCCAACATTAGAAGGAATATTTTCAAAAATAGCATGTTCAGGTAAATAAGACATTGCTACCACTGACCTAGCAACTTTGTCTCTATGTTATCCTGTCCTGGTTTCAGTGTTTTGAATTTATTGTGTTAGATTGTCTCCCTTGATGGCATTTTCATGGAATGCTTTGCTTGTGTTTGACCCTTTTCTAATGTTAATACATAACATTATAACAATAGAATGAAAACACATGAACACTAGCCTTGTACCTATAAACCATCTCACCACAGGAGTGTTGCCAACAGAGGTGGTAACTCAAGTTTGCTTAGATTTGGACTTTTGAGTCCAAAAAAATCTGGTATTCATCATGTATAAATTATAGGCATTTTTTTTAATTGTTTCAGGTCAAATCTTGTACAATATTGCATATGAACAGCTATTTATGGTTTCCTTTTCCTGATCATTGTAAGCACATCACATCTATACGTGAAAAATCTTCTGGAAAACATTTAAAAGTTCAAAGATGAAGCTATAATTATTACTCACGATTGTAGCTGTAACCCTGATGGCACAGGCAACCTTAGAGCTCAGGACCAGGCAGCAGACATCCATTGTTGGGCTTTCTGAAAAGACAGAAAAGAAAGTACTGAGATGTTGTTTGGCTCATATAATTACCTTCCAGTGATCCAGTCAAGTTTCCTTTCTCTTCAGAAACAGAATACCTTTGAATTTTCTATTATCTCAAAATAAGAACATAGGCCATTATTTCTATAATCCATGTCATCAGACAAAAGCAATATATTGGGAACCACGAATAAGGATGTAATGTGTCCTCTATTTCCACATCTGTGAAGAGGACCACTTCTAAGAGTCAATGTTGACCTTAGACTTCCATAACGGTAATTATGACATCTGATTCACAGTTGACCCAAGATAGGTGCTTTCTTTTTCCATTAATTGTAGCATTTGTTTGTTAATCTGTGAATGAGGGAAGACACCTCCTTCAGCCATCTATAGTATCATGCACTACTTTAAGGAGATCTCTCCATTTTGCAAGTATTAATTAAATGGCACAATGTTTGATGGCCACGATAATTTCTCAGTCAGTTATAGTTGGCTTTAGTATATTCTGAATGCTTTTATGAATAGCTTGATGAACCCCTGCAAACAAAAATTCAAGGGATTTTACCATACTCACTCTGATCTCTGTGTTCCTGATACATAAGTTAACTGTGGTCTCGAGGGCCGGAAAAGGAACATCACTCAGGGAGCCTCAATGCTGACAGAATACAGAAGAAAAAATTGCAAAAAAGAAAAAAGAAAAAAAGAAAAAGAAAAAAAAAGAATAAGAAAAGAAAACCATATATTATGAATTTATTCTTTCATTTTTTAAGTCACTTGTGTGGGAGCTAAATTGGCATAGCTTCATTTATGTGATAATAATGAATATTCAAGCCCCAAACAAAACAAGAATCCAACAGTGCAGTGTTCCTAGCTAGCAATACCACTTACTAATATTTCTTGACTGGAATGATTGTCATCCTGAACAATGCTGAGCAAGATACCTAACAACTACTTCTAGAATCGGGACATCCAGACTAGATGCCTTAAGGTGTGGAACTCAGACTTCCAGACCTGTTGTCATGATCCACGGCTCATACCCAACAAGATGTCATCACTGATCCAACCTTGGCCTCTAGTTTCTCTGGTGAATTGATAGCACTGTTATTCATCCACTAGTGAAAATTATGAATCTTGAAATCCAGCTATATGTGGGCTGCTTTATGCCTTTACATCAATATTAATATAAAAATGTTAGTTATGAAAGTATTCCACAGCCACATCATACTACTTCTCACTGGGCCATTGGGGCACTGGATTCTATGTAATGGCTTTAAGAAAAGAGGAAAGAATTGAAATCAAGACAAGAACTTTGACTCACATTGCTCCCTATGCTCCATGCACCAGATGACCAGGGGTGAAGGCATCTATTCTAAGAGTACAAAATAAAACAGAATATAATGATTTCTTCTTACATCTACATTCAAAAAAGAGCAACTCAAAAATAACTAGGTGGTATATTTGAAGATTTCTGAGTTATTTTGAAATTTACTGATCTTTTATTGATATACTATGATTCCCAATTGTGTGTTTTTATGTTTTTGAGTGTATGTTTGTATCTGAGTGTGAATGGGCTTCACATGGTTTGTGTGTGTGTGTGTGTGTGTGTGTGTGTGCGCGCGCGCGCGTATTGGCTTTGTTCTATTTGTTGGTTTGGATTTGTTCTATTTGTCCACTTTTTTGTTGTTATTTACTTGTTTATATTCGAGAGAGAGAGAGAGAGAAAAACAAGAGATAGAGGTGGGTGGGTGTGGAGGAGGGAGGACCTTTGAAGAGATAATGGAGGGGATATCATGATCAGAATACTATATTGTATTGGATACAGTATGTATCCAAGGCTAAAAAATAAAAACAACAAAAGGGGAATAGTTCCCCAGTGTTATCACTCAAAATGATAAAATGTGTTATCATTCTCAGAGATCACTGGAACTATCTTGGAGCCATTTTTCTCTTAATGACTTTCCATTATCTTAAATATTATTGTTTTGTCTTGCTGTAGCAAGCCCAAACTGGCTTTGAAATCACAGTGTTTTGGGCTCAGCTTTTAGAACAGGGATTCCTCAAAATCATACCCCCTGCTGTTTTTACTTCCTTTATCTCATCTTATTAATCATGTAAGAACAAACAAAATATAAGTACATTTCTTTTGGAAAAAATACATAAAATTGAACATAGAGTTTGTACTAAAAGAATTTATGGTTATTATTTGCCATATTAACCAAGATGTAAAACCATGATCTTTTTATGCATTAATAAAATACATTGGTTTTAAATTCATTAACATCGTTCTTATAAGTGGGAAATACTTCTCAATCTAACTTTAATCATGAATAAATCTTGTAATGACTTAGTAATTGATCCAATTATAAAAACCATAAAGAACAGTACTGTGGATGAAAAACAGGAACCTTGACCATGACTTACTTTATCCCTAGATTCAGAGGTGAGTACACAGAGCATAATGTGGACCTCAGAATTCCAGATATGTGCCCAGGATCCCACACAGGTTTAAAGAATAATCAAGGATCTTGTGCTTAGATTTGTCACTCACTACTATCTCAATAGTACTAATGATCAATTGATTGTTTAATAAATGTAAAAGGAGGACTGATATTGGATCAGTGATGGCTGCTCTACCCAGAAAACAAGTGATAACAATACAGAGAAAAGACTTGATGGGTGGCTCAGAATAACAAAAAATATAAGGTAGAATCTAAACTATACATCAGGCATATCCAAAAATATTTTGCTATATTGAATATTGCTTTTGATATAAAGGCTTAATGTGATTTTATTGTTTCACCCACATGCCATGTTAACCATTAGGCCATATTTGCTCCTCTCACATGACAAGCAATGATACAATAAAAGGGCTAGTATTTAAAAGTAACCCAGAAGGAAACATACTCACACAGCATTTATCATGTGAACAGAGAGTCTCATGACAAAGGAAGAATGTGGAACTCAGCTTGGGGGTATTCATTTCTGAGAATATAAAGCAAAAGAGATCATAAAAAGATTGAAATTCTACTTACTTGTTCATGTCCCTTTCTTTTTATCATCTAAATGAGTGCTACATGACTATACATTCTTTCTTGATAAAATAAAGGGCATGACTTTACTAAGAACATGGCACATAATTTAATTGAATGTGCCATTTATACTCATTTCTGAAAGGACTACTATGTTTGGTATACAATTTTAGCACCCTCCCTGTAGAAGGAGAACTGTAAACTGTATTTATATTTTAAGTCATTTTAAAGTAGGTCAGCCCCAAAGATCATGGGTATATACTACAAATTTTATGATGTGGACCTCAGACTCCCAGACCTGTATTCATGATCCACGATCATACGGCACCAGTGATCATCACAGATCCAACATCAGCCCTCCTCTTCTCGACTAATAGCTGCAAGTTTGAGAAACTGATTGTCTGAACTTTTGAGATAATTACAAAGATCTAAGGACAAAATCTTGAGTATATGTCAGCGTTCTACAGAATTATTGTCACAAATTCCTGAATTTTCAAAACTGTGTGGTTCTATATTAATCCTTTATCAACAGCTGCTCTTCCCATGTGATAAGTAGTTCTTATCAATACCAGGAAGAGCCTTCAAAAGCAACCCATCAATATTAGAATACTGACAATACTCACACAGAGTCTATATTACAAATATACAGTGCTCATCATGAAGCTCGGGACCAATGGATAATGTGGGATTCACATTGAGGGCATCTGTTCTGAGAGTAAAAAGCAAAAGGCATATTAAAAACATTAAATTGTACTTACTCATCCATGCATTCTGTATTTTTGTGTTACTCCTCTCAAATTTCTAACTTTACTTATCCTTCACAGATGAAAAAGCAAATGGCCATGGTTCAGACCCAACAAGAACACAGACCTTCAGATGAACTGAAAGCATCATGGCTATACTCTAGGTAACTTTGGATGTGGACCTCAGACTCCCAGACATGTACTCATGATCCACGATCATATGCCACCATTGGTCATCATTGATCCAACATCAGCCCTCCCCTTTATCATTAATTTATGTGTGTTTATTGGGAAATTGTTTAGGACTACAATAAAGATAATTATGAAACACAAATGTCTAAGGACACAATCACTGTATACACAGTGTTCTATAATGTCTCTTTTGAACAATTTTAAAATTATGTGTATATTGTGCAACACGTTGTCAATAGCTGTTCTTTGCAGATGATAGTCTTGCTCAATACAGAGAGCAGCCTTTCAAAGAAACCCAAATCAATACAAAGATAAAGACTATACTCACACTGTGACAATATGATGAAGAGAAAGAGTGGATCAAAGCTCATGACCAAGGGAGAGTATAAAATCACCATAATGACATCCATTCTGAGAAAAGCAAAGGAGATCATAGAAAAAGTGGCAGTCCATTAAGCTACCCATGTAGCCTCCCTCTCTACTGGACATCAAAGTATTTATGGCATTATGATGTACTTTCCCAGAGAAAACAGACATTGAGCTGACTCTTACAATTCAAAGGGCATTTCCTGTACTTTTACTTAGTTGTCTGCTCTGAATGAACTGTGTTTGGTATATATTAGTATTCCTAATGTTGAGGAACTCCTTAATTGGAAAATTAACAATCTATTTTTATTTAGGAAATTATAAAGTAGACTATTATATCTCCTGTCAGCATCATGACATCCAAAACTGTGGTCATAATACATATAGCATATACCACCATTTGTCATCATCGATCGCTAACCAGCTCTATGCTTTGCTATTAATTTAGGCACATTTATTGGGCAAAGAATTGCTGTACTATCAAGACAATTATGATTCACAAAATTCTAAGGATCAGACCCTTGAAAATATCTAAGAGTTCCACGAAATCTTTCTTGTGTACCCATTTTATTACATGAATTATAGCCCGTTTAATTGTACAAAAATATGTTAAATATTATTTTTCACACATACCATATTTACCCTTTGGTCTTAACCCTTAACAGATAATAAGGAACAGAAATTCTAATCAATCAAAACCAATGAGAACCCTGACACTACTCACACTGTGTCTATATGATAAACTCAACATGCTAACCACAAAGCTCAGGCCCAAAGCAGAATGTGTAAATCATCTTGAGGGTATCTATTTGAAGACTACCTAGAAGAACTTGGTATAAAGAAGATGGACACTGTGTTTACTGATTCATGCATTCTGTCTGCTTATCTTTCTCTTTTCATCTGAAGACTCATCAAAGTGTGTGCTATACCACTGTGTTGTTCTTTAGGAAAATAAGAGAGCACTGCACAGAAGCCACCAGGAACACTGGTTGTAATTTTAGATTATATGGCATTGCAAAAACATGCTGTCAGAATAAACTACTTTATTTTTGTATAAATAATTAGAACTCTTGCTGTGGAGTTATGACTTAATTAGTATAGACTAACAAAGGCATTTTTGTTCTAATTATAAAAGCAGAAAGTCATTCATATCTGCATGACGGCCATGGTTATATGCTATTTTATGATGTGGACCTCAGACCAGTGGTCATCACAGATACAACATCAGCCCTCCTTTTCTTTATTAATGGCTTGATGCATAGTGAACAACTGATCACTTGTGATACTGAAATAATTATAATTAACAAAAATAGTATAATATAGAGTTTTATAAGCCATTAGCCCTGTGGAATATCTTTCCTTCTGAATTATTAATCTGGAAAATTTGTCATAAACATTCACGGTACCAAGAAGCCAAGAAAAAAATTCAACAATACTATCATCAGGCCCAAAAAAAAAAAAAAAAAAAAACAAAAACAAAAAAAAACAAAAACAAAAACAAAAAAAGAGAGAATACATCAATTGTACTTGAAATGTATTTTCAGTATTCTTCTCAATTTTAGAAAATGGCTTCCAATTTTTATTGATATTTTATCTAACTGTAAAGTATACTTTACAGTAGTATCATCTGTCACTAAGATAATGGGTAAAAACGTGCTCTTTTATGATGAGGGACTCAGTGGTCATCACAGACCCAGCATCAGGTCTTCCCTTTCTCAATTAATTTATGCATGTTTGTTGAGAAATTGGCCACTAGTATTTTTGAGATATTATGAATTATAGAAATTGCAGGATCAGATCCATGACTTTTACTTGAAAGCTCCTCAGATTATATAGATGTAATGATCTAATTTCATTGCACATTCTTAATCTGACAATCATATGTTAAGCATAGTGCTTCCCTTTGGTCACAGATGCTCTCCCAGGACATAAAAGTTTATAAGTACAGGAACAGTAAACAGTAATTGAAAGCAACACAAAGTAATACAAGAAAACTGAATGTACTCACAGTGTGTCAACATTGTGAACCCAAAGAGATAATGATGAAGATCACAATGATGTATAAGTCATCTTTGGGGACAAGTCTATCCTGAGAGTACAAAGCAGAAGAGAATATAAAAAGATTGACATTCTGTTCACCCATCCATATACTCTGTTACTGGCTTAACCCATCTCTTATCACTCATATGATTATGTGTGACATTGAGGTGAGTTCTTCATGAGTGAGAAATTGGGCAGAGCTGTCACCCTAACAAGAACATAGACTATAGCTTTAATTCATGTGGTATCCTCAGACATACTGTATGAATAAACTATTATATTCAGTATACCTAATTAGAACTCTTATTATGAACCCTCAACCCTACAGAAAAGAACTACATGCAACTAAACAATTTTCAGATTGGAAGAAACAGTTTTCTTCAGGAAGAGCACACCAATTGGGCATCCAGTACTAAACAGTCAGCAATGAAAATATACAGGAATAATGGCATACAAACTGAGCAGATTGTATTAAGGAATACATGTGTGTGTGTGTGTGATTTTATATGTGTATATGTATGTATATGTATGTATCAGTATGAATGTAAGACCAAGTAGGAATGTATGGGAAGATTGACAGGGAAGAGAGATGGGAAAAAATGATAGAACCATACAATAACTTGAAGAAATTGTAAGTACCTTAACAACTTTATTCCTATTTTCATCAAGTGTAAGAGTGGATTTTCATATAATTCTGCCACTAAAGTCGTGGGTTTAATTTAAATAATTTGTGATGTGGACCTCAGACACAGATTTGTAGTCACGGTCCGACTCATAAGCTACCCACGGTCATCATTGATCCAACATCATCCCTACTCTTCTCTATTAATTTCTATGTGTTTGTTTAATAAATTAAATAATCATCTATCACAAATAGCTAAGGCAAGATCCCGGAATATACTTCAGGACTTTTCAGGATCTTTTGCAGGATAGAAAACTTGTAAACATTTTCACCCATATGCCATACTAATAATTTGGTCATGATGGCACACCAAGAAATTAATATTGACTATACTCACACTGTATCTATCCTAAGAACACAAATGGCAGATGAAGACGCTCATAACCAAGGGAGAATGTGTAAATCAGCTTAGGGGTATCTGTCCTGGGAGAATAAGACAAAAAAGAATACAGAAAGATTGATATTCTGACTACAATCCAATGCAAGCTATCCATTAGCATTGTCCTTCTCTATTTATCCCTATGCAGCACACTATGATGTGTTCCTGAGAAAAAAAATGGCCAAGGCTCTGAAGTAACAAAGGACATTGTCTAAAACTTTTGTTCACCTTGCATCCTCAAACATCATGTCTGAATGAACTATTATGATAAACTTATTATTTTTTATGGTGTGAAGTTGATTTCCAGAATTATAGTCATGACACATGACTATGTACAAGCAATGGTCATCATCAATCCCACATCACCCTTATGCATTTATACATATTTAGTAAGGAAAATCATCATACTATTAAGATTACAATGAAACAATAAACCCAAGGACAAAATTCTTAAATATGCTTCAGTGTCCTTCATCAACCTTTCAAATCATGAGCTAGCATTTTGCTACATATTATTAATTTGAAAAAATTATTAAATGATGTATTTTGCACACATGTCATATTGACCTTTCGGCTATGGCTGGACGTCTCAGATACTAAGTTGTTCTTTAGCAATTCAGTGAACTACCATTAAAAGCAACATGAACTAGCATAATACATTGTCTATACTCACACTGTGTGTATTTTATAAACTCAACAAACTTATTACAAAGCTCACTATCAGCTTGGGAGTCTACATTGTGAGAATATAAAGCAGAGATTGTAAAAGATTACTATTGTTACTCATCTACACTTGGTCCCTTCATGTCTCTAACGCTCCCTTGTCACTTATCAACATATATACATGCTATTATAATGTGTTCTTGAAAAATAAACAGTAGATATGCCTGTGACCCCATCACTAATATTACCTATGATTTCACTTCATGTGGCACCCTCAGTAACAGAATCCCTCATATTTCCACCAGATAATGGCTATAAACTAGATAATTTATGATGTGAATCTCAGACTTCCAGACCTATAGTCATGATCCACGGCTCATACAGCACCAGCGGTCATCATGGATTCAACATCAGCCTTTCGTGCTTCAATTAACATCTACATGCTTATTGAGCAATTCTCTATAAGAACTTTCTTACATCAAATCTCGTTCATAAGTAAGTTTTTAACAGATACCAACAAAAACACTTGAAAACTGACTACTCACACAATATACTCTGAACACGAAGAACAAATCATGAAGTTCACAAGCAAGAAAGAATGGGTATATCTGGTTGGAAGCACCAATTCTGAGTACAAAGCAAAAGATAATTAAAAGATTGACATTCTCTTAACTCATCTAATGCCCTCTGCCTTTCTGTATCATCCTTCTCTTGCTACCAATCACATATTGTCATGTGTTTCTTGTTAGAAAATCGACATGGTTATGACCCTACTAAGAATGTTTCCCTTGGTTTCATGAGATATGATAATAAGCAAGTTTGAATTAAAAAAAGTTTCATGTATATTTTAATATGCCCATTGTCAAATTGAATCTAGTCAAAATTACATTGGCTATATTTGAGTTTACATTTTATATAATTTTAAAAACAGACAATTACTAAGATCTGTCACAAAGATCACGGGTAGAGGCTAACTATCATATGGTATAGACCTCAGACTCCCAGACCGCTAATCATGATACATGACTCATACGACACAGATCTAACATCAGACATGCTCATCTGATAGTATCACTATTGAGTTAATTATGAATCACAAAAATCGAAAGACAAAATGACTGAGTATATTCTAGGGTCATTTGTTACACTGAGAAAGGTCTGAATTGGGCAATGTTTATGAAACACTGTGTTTTATCTGCTTATGATGTTGGCCTTGGTTGCTCTTCAAAAGGGGAAGCATTTAATGAATTCAGTCTGTAAAAGTAATCCAAACCAATAACTGGACAAGGACTATACTCACTCAGTATTTATGCTCTGAATATAAGTTTCACATCACAAAGCTCACAAGAAGAATGTAGCAAGTCAGCTTTGGGGTTTCCATCCTGAGAGTACAGAGCAGAAGAGAATATACAATTGATATTGTTTAATTACCCATGCATTATGTTATCCCTATTTTGTTATTACTTATATACTGGCTAAGTGTTGTATTAGGTGTTCTTCCTAAGCAATCAAACTGTCACAGTTCTGGCTTTACCATGAATATTCCCAATAATGTTATCCTAAATCAAGTATCCAAATGAACTTGCTATGATTTTGGATATTGACTTAATTCATTTATATTACAAATGTATACTATTTTTATCTTCTGTTACTAATAGGATGTTATCTGCTGTTTCATGATGTGGACCTCAGACTCCCAGACCTGTAGTCATGATCCACGAATCATATAGCACCAGAGGTCATCACAGATCCAACATCATCCCTCTCCTCTATTAATCTGCACACTTTCATTGAGTAATTGATCACTAGTACTATTGAAATAATTATGAATCACTAAAATCTATGATAAGATTCTTGAGCATACTTAAGAGCTCCTCGGGATATTTCAATCTTGAGTATCTATTTTATTATAAATTCTTAATTTGACAAAATATTATTAAACACTATGTTCATGCACATTGCATATTAATCTTTTAGTAATGGGTGCTCATCTCAAATGATAAGCAGTCTTCATCAATACAGGAAGAGTATTCCAGAATACACAAAATCAACATGAGGACACTGACTATACTCACGCTGTGCATATATTATGAACGCAAAGTGTTGATTGATCACAGAGCACAGGACCAGTGGACAAGGTACAATTCACATTGAGGGTATCCATCCTGGGAGTACAAAGTAGATGAGATTGTAAAGATTGATATTGTAATTACTCATCTATGGATTCTATTTATCTTGATTCTTTGTTGTTAGCCCTCATCTAAGTGTGTTTTAAACACACACAGAGTAAGGGCTTTAATTATAGTGTATATGACATCTGAAATATTGATATCAGAAAGACCCACTTTAGTTTAGTATATATTAGTATGACTTAATTAGTAAAGGCTTTACAAAATCTTAATCTGGATAATAATCTAAGATATTAAGTGGGGTTTTCAATATATGCATGGTCACTAGAGACAACATGAACCAACACTGGAATGTTGGCTGTGCGCACACCGTGTCTATATTATGAATGTAAAGAGTAGAACATGAAACTCAAATCAAACTGAAAAATTGCAAATCACCTTAGGGGAAATGCATCTGAGAGTATAAAGCAGAAAATAGAAATATATTGGCATTCTGTTCACTCATCCATGCTCTCTGCTTGCTTGTCTTACTCCACTCTTCTTATCACTCATTTACATATCCATTGCACTGCAATATGTTCTTACCGAGAAAACAAATTGCCGTTATGCTGACTCTAACAGGAACATTGCCTATAATTTTAACTCATGTGATAGACTCAGCTATCTCATTTGAATGAGTTATTATTTTGGGGGTTTGTTTTAATACACTTGTTAAGTAAGTCTTGATCATAAAATGACTTAGAAATATAGATTATTCCTAATATTGGCAACTGACATAATGAGTTTACATCAAGTATTTCAGGATGTGGACCTCAGACCCCCAGTCCTACAGTTCTTATTCACAACATATGCCACCACTGGTCATCACTATCCCAACCTCAGCCCTTCTCTTTCATTAGGAATCACAAAATAATCTAATGGCAAGATTCTTCAGTAAACATCTGGCCTCTATAAGGTCTTTTTCTCACGTTGAGCATACATGTTATACATTATTGATTTAGCAAAATTTGGTTAAGTATCATGTTCACCCCCGTGTCATATTAAGCACTTGACCATGATTACTCTTCCAGATAGTAACAAGAGTTTCATCGATACAATCTACAGTCTTTAAAATTATTACAAATATTGAATATACGAACACAAAATCTACTCTACAAACACCATGAGCAGTCAGCTGGGAGTATGTCTTCTGAGCGTGCAAAACAGAAGAGATTATAAAACTGCTCAAACTTGTGGTTTACACGCTCGTGCACGCTGCCTGCAATCTCAGCCCCTGTCTTCTTGGCACTCCTCTAAGTGTGAATTACACTGTCATGTGTTATTTATGAAAAAAGAAATAAAAAATGGCTATGGCTCTGACCCTATCAAGTACCCTATCATTTTAATTTATATGGCAGGCTCAATCATCAAGTGTGAATTAGTATGTAGATTTAGTGCTCCTCCTATGCAATTATATCATCCTTAGAAAATGATTTAACAAGTATATGAAATAGAATAGCATCACTTCCCAACTCCCTTTAACATCTGAGCTACATATTTTATCATGTGAACCTCAGACTTCCAGACCTGTAGTCAAGATCCTTGACTCATTTATCCACATCAGCCCTATCCTTCCCTGTGGATTTATGAATATTTATTAAGCCATTGATCACTAGAGCGAATGAGAAGTTTTATGGACAAGATCCCTAAGTATACGCCAAAGTTCCTCAGAATCTTATTCTGTGATTAGAATCTCTTGTTAATAAGGGAAATTTAGTTAAAGGTATTTCACCCATGTGCCATATTAACCCTTGGGGCACGGCTGCTCTTGTCAGATAAGTGGTTTTTTGTCTGTATGTGGACAGCCATTAAAATCAACATGAAACAACAAAAGAACATTGACTATACTCACATGGTATCTACATCTTGAACCCAATGAGTTCATCATGAAGCTCAGGACCAAGGAAGAATTAGTAAATAAACATGGAGGAATCCATTCTGAGAGTATAAAGCAGAAGAGATAATAAAAAGATTTATATTCTGTTCACTCATCCATGTCTTCTACATGCCTGTCTTGGCTCTTCTTAACCTTTATCCAAGTAGCTGTTAAACTAATATGTCTGCTTCTTGAGAAAAACAATAGCCATGGCTCTGGCGCATGCCTTTAATTATGGCTCAGATGGCATCTTAGGATATATGGGTATATATTATTAGGACTTGTTCTGTGAAGTTACATTTTAATTGGAATATATGATATAGATTTGTATTTCTGATTTAAACTAATTGTAAGAATAGACTAGCACTCTTACTTGCTTTCAGTGACTGCAGTATAAGCTAGATATTCTGATGTGGACCTCAGACTCCCAGACTTGTACTCATGATCCACGAATCATACACCACCACTGCTCATCATTGATCCACACCAGCCCTCCTTTCTATTAGTTTCAGTGTTTTTGCCTCATCATTCAAAATATTAAGATACTTATAACCACAAAATTCTAATGGCAAGGTCCTTGAGTATAACTCAGAACACAGGCCAAATTTTGTTCAACCTTGTGCTTCACAAGGTTTGGCCATGATTAACCCTCAATATTCTAGGTAGTGTCCATCAGATAGTATGAGGACACAATAAACAACATAAACCGAGACATGAACATTGACAATACCCACACGTTGTCTAGTCTACGAACACAGAGGCTGGATCGCAAGGTTGAGGTGCAAGTGAGGCTGTATAATGTCAGCTTGCAGGGCATCCATTCTGAAAGTATAGGAGAACAGGAGATATAGGAAGACTGACACTCTTATCCATGCATAGGAGCTGCTTTTCTTGACAAGTTCTACTCATCTCTCATGTAAGTGTTCATTACTCTATGAGATTTTCTTCTTAAGGAAACAAATGGCCATAGCTATGACCAACAATAACATTGTCTACAGTTTTGTTTTACGTGAATATACTACTGCATTTTGGAATATATAAGTTGTCCTTTTGTGGAATTGTGTCATGATTGGAAAATGACTTATATTTACTTACAGCATAGTAATATTATTGTTTGTTATACTACATTACAATAATATTTTAATTCACCTAATTATAGACGTAGACTACCATGGGACATATATTAGGTGTTTTATTTTGTGAACCTCAGATTCCCAGGCCTGTAGTCATAATCCATACAGTCATCATTGATCCAACATCACCCTCCTCTCCTCCTTACCAATTTGCATTTATTTAGCAATCAATCATTAGTACAATTGTGGCAATTTTGAGTCATAAAAAAAGTAACTACAAGATCCTTGATTAAACCTTAAGCCTCTCTAGGAATATTTGCATTCACTGTTTCATTACATGCTCTCAAATTGGAAAGAAAAAAATTAGACATTTTTTTTCCATGCACACGCCATATTAACACTTTGGCCCCTGATGCTATTCATAGATAATAAGTAGTCCTTTATTGCAACAGAAATAGTCCTTAAAAGCAACACAAAACGACATAAGAACACGGGCTATACTCACAAGGTCTATATCTTTCATATAAAAAACATCGAACATCAAAACTCAGGACTAAGGAAGAATATGAAAATCAGCTTGGAGGTATTCGTTCTGAGAGTACAAAGCAGAAAAAGTTATGAAAAGATTGCCATTCTCTTCACTTATATGCACACTCCCTCTTTCCCCTTACCCAAGTGTTCACTACTCTATGGTATACTCTACTTAGGAAAACAAATGGCTAAGGCTCTGAGTCAACATAAATATTGCCTAAGATTTTAGCTCAAGGGGAACGCTCAGTCATTGTATCTGAATGGTATTTACGGCAGTGGAATTCTGTCTTAATTAGAAAATGACTTCCAAATTCATTTTTATTTATATTTTACATAATTATCCATGACATCCACCACTCACATAATAGCATGCACTAGATGTGTTATGATGTGAACCTCAGACTCCCAGACGTGTAGTCATAATCTATGACTCATACAGCACCCACAGTCATCATTGATCCAACATCAGCCCTTCCTCTTCTCTACTACTTCAGGCTTACAGGGACTACTAAGATAATTTTAACTCCCAGAGAAACCAAGGAAAAGATCGGTGAATATAATTCTGAGTTATGTTGTATCTTTTGCAATAATAAGGACCTTTTTCATTGCATAAACTTAATTTGACAACATTTTATCAAACCATGTGTTCCAACACATAACACATTCAGCATTTGCCATGGCTAGTCTTATTAATACAGTTAATGCCCTTTAGAAGCATCACAAAACGACATAATAACGCAGACTGTACTCACACTGAGTCTATATTACAGGCTGAAACAGCTCATTAGGAGGCTCATGACCAAGGGAGGGTATGAAAATCAGCTTGGGGGCAGAATCCATTCTGAGAGAACAAAACAGAAGAGACCATTAAAAGTGGCATTTTGTTCTCTTACTCATGGACTCTGGTTACATGCATTAATACCTCTTTTTATAACTCACCTAAGTATGTATGACAGTGTCGTATGTCCTGTTAAGAATAAAAACACTCGGCATGGCTCTGACAATATAAGGGTCCATATTATTTTCCTCAGTCTTCCCTGTCTTCATGGGAAACTGGTGCGCTTGAATATAGTAGCGCTATATCTTTTAATATATTTATTAATATATTCTTAGTACATTTACTGTGGGACTATTAAACGAAACACTTGATTTACTTTTCTTTTTCCTGTGTATTTTTTTTCTGTATGCATGCATTTGTATTGCATGAACTAGGCACTTGGAGGCTGCTATATTAGTGGTTGATCCCAAATTGGGTTGCATACAATAGAAGCAAGTTCTTTTTAATCTCCTGAACCATCTCTCTAGCCCTGAAATTATTTCTTTAGTTGATAAATGCCTTAGCAAATAACTTTCACTAATATTTTTGTCTATTTATAAAAAGGTTATTCCTTGCAACGGTCACTGAGATCATGGGTATAGATTAGGTTGATAAGAACAGTTCTAGATGGTGGTGGCTCATTCAGCACCCATGGCTATCATTGACCAATTAAAAACTCTTACTGTGTTTCTTCACTAATCCATCATTTTACATGTAGATTCCAATGAGTTGCAAAGATTTACAAATGAGATCTCCACTATTGTTTCACAGTCTATCGGGCAAGGTACTGATGCATCAAGTTTATGTCAACTGTTATGTTTGAAAGCACCAGTAATATCTAAAGTAGTCTGTATGCTCTGGTCACAAAGCTTGAGACCAAAGAAAAATGCAACTAATTCCCAGGGGAAAACAGATTAAAATACAATTAATGTACAATATATTGACAATAAAATCTAGACATCACACTCAAAAGTACCAATATCAATTTGAGAGTGTGTGTGTGTGTGTTCATGAACATCTACATAAGTGCCCATGAAGAGGACAGATTTCACCTGACAAAAGCAATTTACCTTATGTTTTTGACCCAGGGTCTTTTGTTAGCCTGTAGCTGCTTGCTTTCAAGGCCCGGGGTCCACTGTCTTTTCCTCCACAAGACTGAGTATAGCAATACACCTGGGTTGTATATAAACTCAGGGACTTGTACCCAGCCCACTTTCAATGTCCCTGCAAAGTCAAACGGCACGGGAGGATTCTTACATGTGCTCGGTTTAGTTTTACGTATTGGTCCTTTCTCCCCTTCCAATAATAGGGAAAGGGCCCACAATGCAACTTGAAGCCAGCAGCTATGAGCACTGTTTTCACGTCCATGTTAACAAAAAATGATTGGGACAAACCTTGTAAGTAAGTAAATAAGAAGGCTCAATGGCAACATCCTCAGCAGTGTGTTCATGGCCTTGTTAAATTGACCTCACAGTCATAGTGGACCTAACAGGAGCTTATGCATGCCTTTACCAAGACGGGAGTGTCTTATCAAGGCCAGCAAAGCAAATCAGGGACTTTCACTCCACTTACATCAGTTCTCTTGACCCGCACACATGGGGTAGGGAAACACGGACCTCCCAGCCAGGAAACAATGTGTCAGTCCGCATCCATCCAGGGAGTACAAAGCAGGGAAGATAAGAAAAAGATTGATATTTTTCAAATCGCTTCCACGTGCTCCCTTTCACTACTTGTTATTTAGGCTTCATGTTGTGATGGTGGTGTCAAGAAGAATCAAGTAAGAAGACTTAAATTGACGAGTGGACCCTCAGTGGGGCCTAATCCATTAATTCTTATCCATTAGCTATTGTCCCCGGCTAAGAGGGGTGACATGAGATGTGTTATGCTGTGAACCTCAGACAAGTATTGTAGTCATCGTCAATCCATGACTAATAACGCCGCCGAGCATGGTCATCATCGGTCCATACTAGCATTTCTCTTCTATAATAAGAGAATCTAATGTTTGTTGTTTAACAATAAAAGTGTTTATAAATTTTCAGGATGACTAAATCCTTTACTCAGATAAGTTCTATACTCTATAATAACAATATAGAGCATCCCATTGAGGAAAAGAGATGATTTTCAATATTACTCACACAGGTATGGGGGCTTCTGTAAACACCCGGGAATAAGGGTAGAGTTTGTGAGCGTGGCCCAGTGTTTAAAGCAGACTGCAGCCATTGCTTCTGAGGGATGGGAACTGTGGATGATGAAAATTTGTTGACTTAATTCATGTAGGTTTTGTAAAATTCTGTAGATGTTTGTGAATCTATGATAATAGCTATATATTTACACTTAATAAAATTTAAGTGTCTCTGTTGGTTCATTTCAGATTGTGATGATTTTATAACATTTAGTTTTAGCAAATTAAGAATGTCAACTTTCCTTTTCACTAAAGATCAGGGATGAATGAAGAAGCCAGTAGCGATGGGCACAGAATTCAGGATCGAGAACTCAGATAGATAGCAGCCATTCATTAATTGCCTAAGCATCACAAGTGTTTGTGTGTCCATTAACAATAGAAAAACCACTACAAGGACAGAAATACTGAATGAATGGATCTATAGAATCTCATTCTAGACTCAGATATTTATACAAAATTCAGCTGGAACCATATAGCATGCTTCATCCATGAAACATCAAGGAAGAGACCCAAAATTATATACTACTATAGTGTATCTAAATGAATAAAGGCAAAACGCATTGCAAAACCATGAACAGCACAGTTCATTTGCATTTTTTAGAGTCAAATGGGACTGGATTAAAAATCCACCTCTTTCACAACAGAAGGTCCTCAAGAGCCTCCAATTTAGCATAATTTTTTGAGAAACCAATATGCTTCTCCTATATTTATCATGGGTTCATTACAGCAGAGATTCCATAAAAAACTAGTGTCAGAACATATAGATGATAGAGAGCTAGAAGCATGAATAGAAAATGCTATGTAGATAGACAGACAGGTAAATAAAATCTAACATGTTATATAATTGTGTATGTTTTAGAGCAAATGTTTGGTGATTCAAAGTATCATAATAATTAAAGTTAAAATTTTCATAAAGTATCTCGAGGAAATTTTATATCTGTCATTAACTGAATGTCTCATTTTTGAGCAGTTTGACATCATTTAACAGTACGGAGAAGCAGACAAAGTAACACAAAAACATAAACTGTACTTACATGGCATCACATGATATAGGGCCCAGGTTAGCCGTGGAACTCGTGATGATGTTGGAAGTGTAACTTCAGCTTGGGAACAATCACAGAGATGAAAAGAAGAAGAGATTATTCACACAATCTTGTACTATACAATGGACCTTACAATTTTTTTTATTTTACTCAACTAAGTATTTAAAATTATATTATACTCTTCTTGAGAAAATACATAGGAAAAACATTTCTAACCCAAACAAGGATTTTCAGCACCCTTTTAAACAGCATAGCACATCCTTAGCTAATGAAGAGTAATGTTGCACATTCATTACTACAGGGTTTTTTGACTCTATGTGTGTGTGTGTGTGTGTGTGTTACTACTAGGAGTATTACCTTAGAAAATGGTTAGTGCTCTTATTTCTTATACATATAATATTTTAATTATATAAAGGAGTAAAACTCAGTACCATAAATATTATATGTTATGATAATGTACTATACTACATACAACTCAAATCTACTCTGGTGTGAACCTCAGACGCCCAGACCTGTAGTCATGATCCCCGGATCATACATTGTCAATGGTCATCATCGTTCCAACACCACCTTTCCCTTTCTTTCAGCATTTACTAATGAAAGTAGCATTTTTATTACATAACTATTTGTACAATTTGTAATAGGATTATAATGAGTCATCAAAAACCTGAGGTATTGAAGCCCTTCTACAGGAGCTTATGCATGCCTTTACCAAGACGGGAGTGTCTTATCAAGGCCAGCAAAGCAAATCAGGGACTTTCACTCCACTTACATCAGTTCTCTTGACCCGCACACATGGGGTAGGGAAACACGGACCTCCCAGCCAGGAAACAATGTGTCAGTCCGCATCCATCCAGGGAGTACAAAGCAGGGAAGATAAGAAAAAGATTGATATTTTTCAAATCGCTTCCACGTGCTCCCTTTCACTACTTGTTATTTAGGCTTCATGTTGTGATGGTGGTGTCAAGAAGAATCAAGTAAGAAGACTTAAATTGACGAGTGGACCCTCAGTGGGGCCTAATCCATTAATTCTTATCCATTAGCTATTGTCCCCTGGCTATGAGGGGTGACATGAGATGTGTTATGCTGTGAACCTCAGACAAGTATTGTAGTCATCGTCAATCCATGACTAATAACGCCGCCGAGCATGGTCATCATTGGTCCATACTAGCCTATCTCTGCTCTAGTAATATTTGCGTGTTTTCTCCTCTGTAGTGATATGACTGTTTTGTTTTTTTATGATAAATAATTCCCTTACTCAGATATATTCTATGCTCTATAGTAATATAGAGCATCCCTTTGTGGAAAAGAGACAACAATTTTGAATGTTACTCACACAAGTTTTGGTCTTCTGTAACGCAGAGGAAAAGTGTAGAGTCTGTGGGCGTGACCCAGTGTATAGGGCAGACCGAAGCCATTGCTTCTGAGGGATGAGTACTGTGGATGGTGAAAATTTAATAACTTAACTCATGTAAGCTTTGTAAAACTCTTTCTGTACATGTGAATCTGTGGTAATAGCTATGTGCTTTTACACTAAGTAAAATTTAAGTGTAATGTCAGTGTCTAATTATTTTTGTAATTTATTTATGATGACGTTTTAGGAAATCAAGAGTGTCAAACTTTTTTCCCTTAAGTGCAATAGAAAAAGCAGAGTGAAGCGTGAGGCCAGTAGCTATAAGCATAGATTTCAGAGTCTAGGACTCAAGAGAGATAACAATATATTCGCAGTTTGCCTGAGCATGACAGTTGTTTGATAGGGGATGTCCTTCTGAATGCTGTGAATATATGTTTGTCTTACT